CCTAGACCTTAGTACGGGACTTAGGTCTTGGAGCTATTAACTGCGGCTGGGCACCTCATGTTTCTCCTTTTAATTAGAATATTTACTTCATTTACCCATAATACAATTTCTGATATCTTTGGTTTTTATTGCTATTATCTTTTTAATTTTTAAAAGCTACTTAATCACTTATTTATATTGCTTTTCCCACCCTTTCTTGTCATTTCCTGAATGTGTTTTACTGTGATTATTCCAATTCCTCTTCACTTACCTTGGCAGTTACAGAGTCTCTCATTATTCTTTCACTTGTTTCCATAAGTGTATACATGAATTCTTGACTTATCAAATTGCAATACAGCTTAGTGTTCTTGGCCACATCCCACAACAGACAAGACCTTGAAACACTTACTAAGCTTTCTACCACTAAGCTACCTCCTAACTTTCATATCTTATGAATCTGGTATATGAAAAACAACTTTCACTGTTTCTTTTAGGTTCAAATTACCAGCTTGTTTTTTACTGAAAATACTTTTCTTTCTTTTAAGGGATATTTTTTGTTGGTGAGAGAAGTCAGCAGCCATTGGGGGGGTCCCTCAAAGACTGTGCTTGGATTCTTCCTTCTTAGCTTCCTCTTTGAGACATGATTAAATGTCTTTAAAATTCAGGAATCCTCAAATCACAAGCATTAAAGAAAGATGGTGCTTATAATGAATGGCTTAACAAAATTTTATCATCTATTATATAATAATCTGTAATGGATATTTGAGTTATCACATGCTGTGAAAATTCTTAATTGAATATATAGATGAATATGAATAAAGTATTAAGATTCATCTCTTTAATTTATTTTAAATAATACACTATAAATACTCTCTACATATTTTGCAAAAAACATTTACCCCTATTGGATCAAATATTTTTCTGGCCTCTAATTAAAGTGAAACATGCTGTTTCATACTGAAATTAGTATGTCATTTCCCATCTCCTCCCTGAGGTTGGGAGATCACTTGGCTGTCTGAGGCTAGACATGGTCGGTCAAGGTGACTACGACAACTCCAAGGAAATGAATTCAGAAGGTTCAGAGTGATTGCCTTTGGGGGAAATTGAAGAGTTGTGCTGAAGTTGGAGGGAAACGGAGCAGGAGCAGAAGCACAAAGGGCTCAACATCAGGTTTGGTGTTCGGGTATTATTCTTTGCACAGTGTGTCTCTCAGTTGCATTGCATCTAGGAGATCTAATTTAAAAACACATTATTTCTATGCTTTTCTTTGTAGATGCAATTAGCATTCTTATGAGTGGAACCGACAAACGCTAAATTCTTAAGCTGCTAATGACTTCCCCAGGCTTCTGATCCTTTGCCATACAAAAGTTCCAAAATACAAAAATATCATGGCATGTGCTCATCCATTCCCAATCCTAAGGCTTTTCCCATTCTAAAAACAGTTTCCGGAGTAGGGAGCCAGTTACTGAACTTCACTTCTGCTACTGTGACAGACACCCTGGCCCAAAACAAATTTGGAAGAGACAGGGCCTATGTGGCTCAAAATTCCAGGTTACAGCCTATCACCGAGGGAAATCAAGGCAGAAGCTCAAAAGCAAGCCTGTTTGTTATTCCATACAGCATTACCACCTACCAAGGAACACACTTCACAGCCAAAGAAGTGGGATAGGAACCATGGGCAATGCTGTTTGCTTGCTGGCAGGCAGCTTATATTCATTCAGCTAGCTTTCTGATAACAGTTTAGAGCCACCTACCTAGGGAATGGGGTGTCCCACAGTGGACTGGCCCCCTAAAAATCAAAACAGTCCCCCACAGACCTGCCCACAAGCCAGTTTGATCCAGGGAATCCCTTAATTGAGATTCTCTTCCCAAACAATCCTAGGTTGTGTCAAGTTGGTAGTTCAAGCTAGACAATGCTTATGTAAACTCTGAAAACCTTCAAAGAAGTATTTCATATTGTTTGCAGATGCTTGACTTACATAGCAACAGAACAAAATGTGGACAAGGAAGACACATCTCAGTTCTAGCATGGTGGGTACCTAGAAATGTGTTGTAAGGATTGCTAAATTATTTATAATGTTTGATTTTCAACCATAAAACATATATGAGCATGGTATGTTTTTCATGACTATTGTAGAGTCTGTTATTTTATTTTTGACCTTTTTTATAAATATAAATAAAATTATTTACATATGTAAAGAGCAATGGGTTTCAACATTTTAAAATAAATACAAGGTCTTCATGCCATCTTTCCTTTTAACATCACTTAATGGAAGCCAGTAGGAAGTGAGGGAAAGAAATGCAGCTCAGTATATATATATACATTTGGTAAAGCAGGAATGCCTGCCTCTGGCCATCAAACCATGTTAGACAGAATAACATCCTGTTCAGAAAATCCTCCACACACGTGTTTCTTCCCAACTGAGCACTTTTCAGCAACAGCTTTGGGCTCAGAGTTATGCTCTATCAAGTACTGATATTACCTGTTAGGTACAGCTGCTGGAATGTACCCCCAGAGGACCATGGAGCCCTCTCAATCTGAATATAAGATACCCCATAGCAACATTCAGACCTCATTTCTTTTCCAAATGAGAAACTTAATCATCATTTAAGCTCATAGTTTTTTTTTAAAGATTTATTTTAATTTTAAATGAAGTGTTTGAATGTGTCTGTGTGGGGTACAGTAACCTGAAGAGTACAGAAGAGGGCATTAGATCCCCTGGAGTTAGAGTTATAAGTTGTGAGCTGACTAGCACAGGTTCTGGGAACTGAGCTCAGGTCTTCTGCCCAAGTAGTACATGCCCTTAACTGTGGAACCATCTCTCCAGTTCCAATGTATGAGTTTTTGTAAGAAGCTTCATAAGTGAGTCAAAGAAAGGGAGCTGCTTGAACAACTCTATACAATAATGTGTAGCTGAGCAGAATGGTGCAAAGTCTTCATGCTATTCTGTATTGCTGTGTCGGACATCTTCATGTTCATGCTACTCTGTATTGCTGTGTCATCTTCATTGCAATGTATCACCAAATGGACAAACAAACTTTGGACACTCTGGGCACCTCACAGGGAATGGAAGCAAACCTCTCTCTTGGTCAACAACAGAATAACATTGAAAACAGTTCTAGAAAAGTGTGATAGTTCTGGAACTCTCCATGCAAACCATCCTTCAGTAGCACCAGCCCAAGCTCCATCAGGAAGACAAAGCAATGCTGTTCTGACCCTCTCTTCCACCGGCTCTTCTCTGCCCATTTCCAGACTTCCTGTGATGGGCTAGTGGGTTACACCTGTATAGTAATCAGAGTGATTTCCTTGCTCCCACAATCCCTGGAGATGACCACAGCTGTACAAACCACAGCTGTTCTTAGGAATCCTTTATAAATACCAACTAGACTCCACTTTGCATTTTCAGGATCCTCAAGGGGTCTTGAAGTGTGAGCCCATGTCTTGTGCCTGCCCACACTGGCCCATTAGATATTTTTTGACCATCTTTCATGCATCAAAAAGTTCTGCAGCTACAGTATGTCTACAGCTCCAAGATCATATGCCTCTGGTACAGATGACATTTCAAAGTGTGGTTCCCAGACCATTGCGTCAGCTACAGAGTATGTTTAAAAAGCACACTGTCAAAGTTCTCTAGACCCCCTGAATGGCTCACAAACCTGTCCTGTGATAATGATGCTTGCTGAGGTTAAAGAACAACTTATTCCCTCCAATACTGGCCCAGTTGGAAGAGATAAGGTACACTCTAAGGAGTAAGGATTCTGGAGCCAGACATTTTGGCTTTGAACTCCAGGTTTCCCATTAGCTTTGGATTATATACTATAAGTTCTTCATCTTTTTGCCTGTCCCCTTATCTCTACAATGAAGTTCATGGCAGTATGCCTTCGCTAATGACTTTAGTTGTCAATTTGACACAACCTAGAATCTCCTGGCAAGAGTCTCAATAAGGGATTATCTACATGGGATAGGCCTGTGGTCCTGTCTGTATGGGACTGTCTTAATGAACTGATATGGGAAGACCCATTCCACTGAAGTGGCACCGTTCCCTAGACGTAGAGTCTTGAGCACATCAAGCAAGCGCGTGAACACAAATGCATTCATTTCTTTCTGCTCTTGATTATAGGTGTGTAACTTAGAACTGCAAGCTGAAATAAATCCCTTTCTCCTCTAAGATCAGAGTGTTTCAGCACAGCAGCAGAAGGGAATCTAAATCACCTGCCCATAGGACGCTTGTGAGGATGTAAGGAACTGTTTCAGTATCCCTCAGCTAGGTTCTACCAGTCAGGAAAGAGCCCCGCAAAAGGGAAGACTCAGCCCAATGTCTGGCTGAGGCTAACCCTTTCTCCATTCTCAGCACCCACAGTCTCACCTGGATGGATCATTACCCTCTGACAACTTATACCACTGAGCTAGTGTAGAGAAACAGTGTAATGTACATAAGAACAAGGTAATTAGCCACACTCATGGGCTTGGTGGCATTAGTGTCCCTCACTAACTGTGAGGTGAATCCATGATCCATCTCTTTAATTTTCCTTCCATCTGCTAACCCTCCAACATACTCTGTAAAGAGCACTCAATTCATACTGAAAGCAGCTGCCAGTGTCCCGCTGGTTACTGTTTAGTGTCTTAGATGGTACTGCTTTCAAGATCAGATGTTCTCTCTCCTTCACAATGACGTCATTCTCACTAAATAAATATTGTTTTTTTCCACAGTGGTTTCCATCTGACTTAAAAATATATTCCAGTTACCTGTCTTGTGGCTTCCCTACACTCTGCAGGGTGACTACCCTGAAGGTAGACAACAATAATAACCATTATTCAGTCACTCTTGGGAACAAGGGGCCACGCAAAGGTTCCACACAACTTCACTTCAACGGTTTCTCAGATTAAAGCAGCAAGCAAGGCATCCATATGTCAATCTCTTTTTTATTCATTTTACCATTATTATTAGTTTTTTACAAAAGTTTATTACAATGTACAACATACTCCAGTATAACACGTCATTCTAGCTGTAGGTGGCAAAGATGTTATGGCAGGGGATCCAGATGTTTAAATGGGAATGGAAGAGGGTCACCATCATCTCAGATATGAGGAACAGCTTACTTTTTGCCGTATTTCTTAATTCCACCTATGGCCAGGGGTCCCTTCCCCTCAGCCTTGGCTTTTAGCTCCTCGAGTTTCTTCGGCTCCTCTTTTTGTTTCTGCTTGAGAGCCTTGTCTTCCTCGTCCATCTCCTTGGCCTGCTGCTTGAACTGTTTCAGGGGCTTCTTTTTGCCTCCTTCAAGGCCTGACATGGCGCCCACAGGCAGCCTCTTCGCAGACCTTCCTATATGTCAGACTTACAAATATAAGGAAAGCAGGTCTGAGAGGCTAAGGGACTTGACCAAAGTTTTCCAGCAAGGAAAATCACCACAATTCTAGTGTTTTTTTTTTTTTTTTTTTTTTGTGGAGGTACTCTGTGTCTGTGTGTGTGTGTGTATGTGCGCTATGCCTACTCTTTCAGCACTTTCAAAACTGAGTATTCGAAGATGGAAATCAAGATGAATAAACTAGAACACACCAGGTGCTCCTCAATAGGACAACTACCATTATAGTTTGACTACGAAGTGTTCTGCTAAAGAGCTAGCTCGTGGTTTGTCAGCTTGGTCCGCAACTGCTGGCGCAATTTGGAGAGCTTCTAGAAACTTTAGGAGGCAGGGCCTAATAGGAGAGTTGTCACTGGGGGTATGTCCTCTGGGTCCCCATCTTGTCCCAAGGCCTGTTCTGTCTCCTCTCTGCTTTCTGTCTTTCATGAGGTGGAGAACTTGGCTCTGTCAGAACTTCCACGCTGATGGATAAGAACCTCTGAAGCAGGGAGACAAAAGAAATCCTCTCCCCTTAAATTGTTCTACTCATGTATTTTGTCAGAGTGATTTTAAAAAGTGGCATAACTGTCTCCGAAACAGGGAGAGACTCAAAAGTGGATATGGAGAACATATATGGAGCCAGGCATTTTAACAAGCCTTCTGTACTTGGTGTACTTTCTGAAGGGTGTGGGAGGTTTGCAGACAGCATGTCAAGCAGAAGGAACCAGACTCAGTATTCTGTAAGTGGCTTATTTTGTCTTGTCATAGCGTCTCTAAGCATGTGTATGTGAGTGGGGTGGTAGTGGACACTAGCTACTGTCCCCATTGTTGACACAAAAAAACCAGCAAAAGCAACTTAAGAAGGGAAGGATTCATTCTGGTTCCCAGTTCAAGGGTAGAGTCCTTCATGGCAAGCAGTCATGGCAGCAGGAGCTTTGAAGCTACTGGTCACATTGCATCGATGGGCAGGACACAGAGAAAGGTGGCTGCCAGTCACATTGCACCAGTGGGCAGGGTCAGAGAAGGGTGGCTGCCAGTGCTCAGCTCATTTTCTCCTTTGTATGAAGTCTAGAATCCCAGCCCTGCAATGGGGGCCATCACACTTAAGGTGTGTCTTCCTGCCTCAGTTTACCTAATCTAGAAGACTCTCAAAGACATACCCAGGGAGATTCATCTCCAAGGTGGATCTAGAGCTTATCAAGTTGACAATACATATAAACCCGTAACAGGAAGAAAACGCCTGTCGTTTTCTAAGCACAGACTAGAGAATTGCTCCCCAGATACCTCTGGATAAATTAACTTGTTAACTCAACTGTAAGTGCATTGTAATTCTGTGGGTCTCTTCATCTGAGGCATGAATTCTGGAAGATTCAGGGGCATCTGCTTCAACTTTGGAAGGGTATTCTGTATCATTCCTTAGCTGTTGCCCATGGACGGTGTGAATTTATGGAGTGTTGGTCTGAACAAAAACAGCACTACAACATAAAATGCATCATTAATACTTTAAAACCCAGTATGATTTATATTTATATAAATAACATAAAAGAAGCCAATTAAACCAAAGTCACTGGAGTGTAAATAACATAAAAACTTATTGTTCTCTAAGCTACTGAGAATAAACTAATAATGAATGTATTTATCATATGTCTGAGAACCAAGCAGGTAGGAGTGGGTTAAGCGGGTTGCAGGGAAAAGCCGATCTTCTTGAAGCCTTCTAAGGTCGACCCAACATTTTCATCTAATCCAGATCCATTTAAAATGTGACATTTTCTCTGAATGTTACCTTTTGCCCATTTGAGTAATTAATAATTTCAGTGTAACCAGGATGCCTAGATTCAAACACTTTGTAATCTAACTAGGAGGATATTTAAAATTCATTACAGTACATTAAACTTGCAGGGAACAGTTAGCTCCGTTACAAAATAAATAAATAGCCAATTTGCTTTGATCAGCAGAAATTCTGATAAAATCAGCAAAACACCAATTAAAATGTGAAAAATGTCACCTACTGTAGTTATTCTAATGGAACACGGACTTAAAGGAAGAAACTGATTCAATGTTTATTTTCATAGCAGCTGTGGCTTTCAAGTGTAAATCATTTCCCTGTGCTAGGGAATGTGGCTCCTTCACAGTCCAGCCTGAACCTATGCATAGTTGGTAGAATTACAAAGATACTCCCGGGCTGTGGTTGAATTCCTGTGGCTAGTCATTGTGTGTGTGTGTGTGTGTGTGTGTGTGTGTGTGTGTGTGTGTGTGTGTGTGTGTTTGTGCTAGTAGATTGCAGAGACAAGGTCTCACTAGAGATCCCTGGCTGCCCTGGAACTGACTATATAGACCATGCTGTCCTTAAACACATGGAGACCCCCTGCCTCTGCCTCCCAAGAGTTGGCATCAAAGGCTGGCCACACCTGATATGTTATGTGTATTTTGATACAGGGTCTCATATAGAATCGTCTAGAACTCAATATGTAGTTGAAGATGAGTTGAACTCCTGTCTACCTGCCTCAGCTTCCCAAGTACTGGGATTACGGGTGAAATTTATCTGGTCCTGAGCTTCGAACCCAGGGCCTTTGTGCATTCGAGGAAGGCACTCTGCTAGTCTGGCCACATCCCCGTACACATCATCATTTCCTTATATTTTATCAGTCTTCTCTTTTTGAGAAGTGCTGCTAAATGATTGAGTGGAAAAGGAGCTGGCAAACACTCTAGGTATTACTTCTAGATTAACCATAAGGCTTTGATCTCATTTCTCATCATGCCAGTTGTTTTGACAAGTTCAGTGTCAACTAACCCACAGGCAGGTGCCTGGTGAGTGTTGGCAAATGATCACTGCGAGGACCCGGGAGTCTGTCTCCTTCAGCTAGATCTGTAGCAGGTAATCCTCCTACCTCCAGAATGTCATGAATCTACTCCTGGTTTCCAGGGCTCCAGGAAACAGAGAGTAACTACAACGAAAGACAGGGTCACTTAACATCTCATTACACACCTTGCTTATGGAATTAAAAAGAAAACAAAAATAGAATTACTTTGAATTGCAAGATGGGTTTCCTTCCATCATCTGCCTTTTCTTCAGTGTAGGCAGTTTCTCCTTGACGGAAACCATGAATTCATTTCTAACAAGCCCCGTGGAATCTCTGCCAGTTCTGGCCGCTTCAGAGATCAGTAACAGGAAAGACATGTGCAAACGGCATGTCGGGCTGGTGGGTGCCAAGTTCTCCTTTTGAGTCTTCTCAAAATGCTGTGTCATCATCTTTCAACTGTAAACACACTGGCTCTTTTTTTTTAGCAAGGCGTTTCCAGTGAGATCCTCTCCATGGCCCCCGTGCTACCCACAGCTTGTTCATTACCCAACAGCCTAGACTTTCAGCAAATCCACAGTTCCAAAACCTAAACAAACCACAGTTAAATCTGAAACCCAGGCAACACATAGTGAGCTTTAAATGTCAATTTTAATGAACTTGAAACCACCCATTGCCTGGGACGGGCTGTCCCTCTTTTGATGTGCTGTTGAGCTATTGACTTTGTGGCTCACACCTTGCATATGTAGTTTGAATAGAGATCAGAGTTTCCTTTAAGGAGTCCTTTAGACTACAGTCCTCTGCCTGTCTGCTGATGGGATTTTATGACTATATGTGAATCATTCATTCATTCATCCATGCATCCATTCATTCAAATCCAGGTTTGAATGTAGGTCAGGTTGACCTTGAAGTCACTCTAAAGCCACAGATGACCCTGAACCTCTTATCCTCCTCCTGCCTCCATTTCCCAAATGCTGGCATTATGAATCTGCACCACCATTCTAGTTTGTTTGTTTGTTTGTGTTTTCCATTGCTGAGGATTCAGCCAAGAGCTCCAAGCATGCATTTTACTGTACTTACATCCCTGGCCTCTATATGATTACAAATATGAAAGAGTGTGCATGATCTTCCCTGCAAGAAGTCATCTCTTTCCATTTCTTTAGAAATCATAACGTGTGATGAAATCACAAAGACCTTTCAACACACCGATACTCTCCAACACAGGATCACTGATGATGCCCCCTTGACATGTCCCTTCCCTGCATTTGTAAGATGAACAAACAGTATACCTAAGTGACAGGGCTGTCATAAAGTTGAATGATTGTAAATGTGAATTGTGTGGAACAGCAGCCAGTCCACAGGATCACTCAGCACATTCCACATTCATATCTTATTTAGCCATGGCCTTGTATGTCTAAAGAACGGCAAGAGACACGATAATAGAATGCAGAGGTATTCTTCATTGTGTGTGTGTGTGTGTGTGTGTGTGTGTGTGTGTGTGTGTGTGTGTGTGTGTGTGTGTGTGTGAGTGAAGCAGACATGTGTATTCTGGCGCTCATATCTGTATGTGTGCACAGAGGCCAGAGTAGGACTTTGGGTGTCTCATTTTATCTTTATGACCACAAGACAGGGTCCCTTGCTGAGTCTGAAGCTAGGCTGATGACCAGCAAGCTCCACTAATCACCCTGTCTTCACCCTGGCCCACAGTGCTATGCTTACAGGGCGTGTGGGCTGTCCAGCTTTTTATATGGATAGGAGATTTGAACTCAGGTCTCCAGGCTTGGAAAGCAAGCACTTATCCACTGAGGTGGTTCCTAGACCAAATCACTCAGCTTTTATCTGAAATTCAAATTCAGTGCCTTGTGCTCTTCTATGGAAACTCAGTACTAGTGCTGGGTGCTGCTGGACCTATCCTGCTTCTGTTTTTTTGTTTTTGTTTTTGTTTTTTTCCAGTCTTTGGGATTCGAGCAAGGAGAAGATTAGAAGTGGAGTGTCAAGTTGAAGGTCTTGCTGCTGCCCTTCACTTGGGAGAGACGGAAAGTTTCCACTTTTGCTATGGACGTCCTTGACATGCTATGACATGCCAGTCAGCGCAACCTGCACGGGCTGATAATTCAGAAGCTATGATGGTCTTGTTTATGGCTCTTTCAC